GGGTCCCTCCATTTTCTCTCCCCCCCCCAGGTGGACATGGAGGGGGCAGAACCAGACCAGGATCAGTGGATGATCTAGACGCCGTAGAAGCAGAAGGGCTGTCTGCGGATGCCGAAGAGGTTCCTGCGCCTGGCTGCTTGCGCCCACGCCAACGTGGCTGCCCTGCGCCCGCCGTGACTCCCTGCCAGGGCGAGGGGCCAGCTGCCTGCCCGCTGCCCCACAGGCTGACCTCCTGCCCTGCTTGGCTGAGCCGTTGACCAGCGTGAAAGCCTTAAGGATGGAGCCGGTGTCTCCCGCAGCAGGCCGAGGGCCGGGCCGTCCCTCGTTCGGGCAGTCGGTGGGCTTCCCGCTGTCGGGAGGAGCTATTTTGTAAATAAATAAAATAAATATTTCTTTTTTCACTCGACCTCTGCTGTTCTTGATCTCCCTGAAGTCTGTTGCAGGGTTCCTCCCTTAAGCAATAACACAAACCCACCACAAAATATTTGTGGCTCAGCGAGACAGGTTTTTTTCAAGTGAGTTTGGCCTCATTTTACGACCTGTCGTGCCACCGTTGTTAAGCGAATCTCTGCAGTTGTTCAGTTAGCAACATGGTTGTTAAGTGAATCTGGCTTCCCCCACTGAATTTGCTCGTCAGAAGGTCGCAAAAGGGGATCCCTTGACCCCCGGGACACACCGCAACCGTCGTAAGTACATGTCAGTTGCCGAGCCTCTGAATTTTGATCACGTGAGCACGGGGGACGCTGCAGCCTTCCGTTTAATGACCGTCCCAAGTTAAAACAGCACTGGAAAAAATAACGTATGAACGTTTTACAACCGTCACAGCATCCCCTCCTCAGAGGGTTTATTTCCATTAGTGCAAGGCTTTTCAACCTTTTCACCCATTGTACCACTTTTAGGATACGGCAGCATCCGAGGACCACCAGTCGCCTAGCAAGGTGTCAAAAGCTTGATGACCAAAAAACAAAGGAAAAAAGTGATAAAGTACAGGTAGTCCTCGACTTACAACAGTTCGCTTAGTGACTGTTCGAAGTTACAATGGCCCTGAAAAAAGTGCCCCCCAAGCCACAGCCGAGCAAGACACCTGCCTGCCCGCCCGACCGCGCTCTTCCTCCTGTCCGAGGTTTTCATTGTTGTGAGCATTTCTGTTGAGGATTGGCAGCGGGGGGTGGGGTGGGGGGGTGTTTGGTTTTTATTCCCCCCCTCCGTCTGCTGGGTGGTTGCAGCAGGTTTTGGTCCCTTCACATGACCCTGGGACACTGTGACCGTCATAAATCTGAATCAGTTGCCAAGCATCTGAATGGAAATCACAAGACCCTGGAGAGGCTGCAACATTCCAGCTGATCGGCGCTTCTTCTGGGCTCAGCAGAAGCGGCAGGATCAGTGCTGAGCTCCAGCTGGATCCTGGTGCTGATCCTGGGGCTTCCGCTGAGCCCTGACAACCCTGAAGAAGCGCTAATCCTGGCGCTTCCGCTGAGCCCTGACAGCCCTGCAGCTCCAGCCGTCTCTCGCTCAGGCTTGTGCGGTGCTGCCACCGGTTCAGCTCATTCCCCTCACTACCACTTTTCTAGGATGGTCGTGTACCACCTGCCAGGTGCCAATGTACCACAGGTGGTAGCCCTACCACTGGTTGAAAAGCCCTGCAATTAGTGAAATAAATTAGCGTGGGGCTGGGGGTGGGGGCTGCTGCCGGGAAACGCAATGCACAGGAGAATTGCTGCTCTGTCAATATTTAATTTTAGCATTTTAACCTGTTTCTGGCTGGAACTGAACAACACAACTGAAAGTGTAACACGATAAAGCGGTCAGCACAAATCCCAATGCGACGCAAGGCCAAAGAGAATCATAAGACACATATTCCACAAGATCTGAGAATTGATAAACCCAGCCCAGGGGTCTCCAGCCTTGGCAACTTTTAAGACTTGTGGACGTCAACTCCCACAAGTCCCCAGCCAGAGGCTTCGAACTGTGCCAGACACGGATTTTTTAGTCTGTTGGGCAATTCTCCTGCCCCGTTTCTCCCAGAAAGAGGGATCTACTCCTGCCCCTCACTCCAGACCCACGTAGGTCAGCTGGGCCATGCCATCGGGGATGCCCCGGAAGTACTGGAGGCTGGTCCGGTGGACCCTCCACTTGTACTTCCCGCAGGCCTTGGCGTACTGGAGGAAGTGGGGTGCGCCGGGGAAGATGACGTTGTCCGCCAGGATGGTGGCCCCTGGCTGGAGGAGGCCGTAGTCTTCCAGCAGCTGCAGATCCCGGAGGTAGCAGCGCTTCCAGTGGTTCATGACCACCAGGTGGACCTCCGGCAGCAGAAAGGTCTCCTTGAGGAGGGGGATGACCTCCTCCGAGGGGCCCACGATGAGTTCCACCTGCGTGGGAGAAGAAGAAAGGTGAGTCCATCGGAACAGTTCCTGGGGGGAGAAGTCCCGAAGGTCTGCAGCTCCCTCCGAATCCACATTCTTGGAAACCAAATGGAGACAGGGGGTCGAGCACCTGGTCAAGAAAGGCATCTCCAGGGTGCCATGGAAAAGGGGTTGGGCCAGGAGACCAGCTTCAGAGCTGTGGGAAGCAATTGGGTGGCTTTGGAGAAGTCTACTTCCCAGGCTGGCTGTGGAAGAAGAATATGGAGTCCTTGGTGCTCTCTGAGCTTGGTTCTTTTCTGGCAGATGTTTCATGGGCCAACTAGGTAACATTATGAGGACTAGAAGGGAGGAGGGTTTGCAGAGAGGAGGAGGAGGAGGAGGAGGAGACTGGGGTCCTGGGTGCTCTCTGAGCTTGGTGGGTTTTCTTGGAGACGTTTTGTGACCCAACTAGGCAACATCATCAGTGTTAGAAGGGAAGAGGAGGAGGAAGGAAGGAAGGAAGGAAGGAAGGAAGGAAGGAAGGAAGGAAGGAAGGAAGGAAGGAAGGAAGGAAGGACTGCGGGTTCCTTGGTGTTCTCTGAGCTGGGTGGTTTTCTTGCAGACGTTTCATGACCCAACTAGGGAACATCATCAGTGCTAGAAGGGAGAGAGATGCTGTCAAGATGAGGAGGAGGAGGAAGAGGAAGAGGAAGAAGAAAACAGTGGGTCCTTGGTGCTCTCTGGGCTTGGTGGTTTTCTTGCGGACGTTTCATGACCCAACTAGGGAACATCATCAGTGCTAGAAGGGAGGAGGAGGAGGAGGAGGAGGAGGAGGAGGACTGTGGGGTCCTGGGTGCTCTCTGAGCTTGGCTGTTTTCTTGCAGACCTTTTATGACCCAACTAGGGAACATCATCAGTGCTAGAAGGGAGGGGCTGAGCAATCTCAAGCAGGAAACAATCCCCTAATCCAGGAGCTGAGTTGATGTTCACAAGTCTTAAAGTCGCCAAGGTTGGAGACCCCTGGGCTAAATTGTCAATTCTCAGATATTCTGGATTATGCTTGTGTGACCTTTCTCTTTTCTTCATGCTGGTTTGGCCTGGCCCTTGCGAGAACATCTTCCCTTCGTGGGCCAGGGCGGGGGTCTCCAACCTTGGCGACTTTTAAGCCTTGATTATTGCTCCCACCCGCCAGCCAGCGCTAGCCTCGCTCGAGGAGACCTGCAGCAGAGCCCAGGGCTGCTCACCGTGTCATCGTCAAAGCCGGCCAGCCGAATCACCTTCTCCGCCACCGACGCCTTGCGCACGTCCATCTCCACGGTGTACAACCGGGCGCCCAGCGGGAGCGTCTGCGCCATGAGGATGGAGGCGTAGCCGCAGTAGGTGCCCAGTTCCAGTACCGTGAGGGGAGCCTGGTCGTAGATCAGACGCTCCAGGATCTTTGCTAGGCACATCAGAAAGGCCAAAGAGGAAAGGAGAATGAACGCCGGAGGGTGAGGAGGTTCGGAATATATAGAAAGACAGAACTGGAAGGGACCTCGGAGGTCATCCAGTCCAACCCCCTGCTCAAGCAGGAGACCCTATATACCATTCCAGGCAAATGGTTGTCCAGTCTCTTCTTAAAAAACCTCCAGTGATGGAGCAGCCACAACGTCTGGAGGCAACTTCCCTTCAATATTTTCAATATTTTTATTCAGAAGGTTAGATAGCGCTAGCACTTATACACCGCTCCACAGTGCTTTACAGCCCCTCTCTGAGCAGTTTACAGAGTCAGCCTGTTGCCCCCCCCCAACAATCTGGGCCCTCATTTTACCCACCTTGGAAGGACGGAAGGCTGAGTCAACCTTGAGCCCCATCAGGATCGAACTCATGGCAGTGGGCAGAGTCAGCCTGCAATATTGCATTCTAACCATTGCACCACCACAGATGGATGGAAGGAAGGAAGGAGGGACGGAGGGAGAGAAGGAAGGAAGGAGGGAGGGAAGGAGGAAGGGAGGGAGGGAAGGAAGGAAGAAAGGGAAGGAAGGAGGGAGGGAGGGAGGGAGAGAAGGAAGGAAGGAAGGAAAGAGGGAGGGAGGGGGGAGAGGAAGGAGGGACGGATGGAAGAAAGAAAGAAAGAAAGAAAGAAAGGGAGGGAAGGAGGGAAGGAGGGAGGGAAGGAAGAAGGAAGGAAGAGAGGGAAGGAGGGAAGGAGGGAGGGAAGGAAGAAGGAAGGAAGAAAGGGAAGGAAGGAGGGAAGGAGGGAGGGAAGGAAGGAAGGAAGGAAGAAAGGGAAGGAAGGAGGGAGGGAGGGAAGGAAGGAAAGAAGGAAGGAGGAAGGAAGGAAGGAAGGAGGAAGGAATAGCAATAGTAATAACAATAGCAATAGTAATAGCCCTTAGACTTATGTGCTCTGAGCGGTTTACAGCATGTTGCTCCCCAACAATCTGAGTCCTCACTTTACCGGCTTCAGAAAGAAAGAAAGGCTGAATCAATTTAATAGGAATTTAATAAATGAAAAATAAAATAAAAACGAGAGGCTAAGTTCTCATGTCAAGCTCGGCTTTTATGGACCAACCATTTGTTGCATAACATTGTAGGTCATAAACCATAATTTACAGGGTTAGCTATTTGCTTAGTCCTCATTTATGGAATGATCCAGTCACCATTGGCTGGATTCCCATGCTAAGCCATAAATCATGGTTTACGAGACACCATAACAGGTCAATGCCTCACACTAACAATAAAAGCAGTTCAGATTTAGGCATGACAGGTTCTTGTCAACCCAGTCATGACTGCGTAAGCCAGGGGTCTTCAAACTTGGCCCTTTGATGACTCGTGGACTTCAACTCCCAGAATTCCTCAGCCAGGCACGCGTGCCTGGCTGAGGAATTCTGGGAGTTGAAGTCCACGAGTCATCAAAGGGCCAAGTTTGAAGACCCCTGGACTTCAACTCCCAGAATTCCTCAGCTAGGCACGCTGGCTGAGGAATTCTGGGAGTTAAAGTCCACGAGTCTTAAAGTAGCCAAGTTTGAAGACCCCTGGACTTCAACTCCCAGAATTCCTCAGCTAGGCACGCTGGCTGAGGAATTCTGGGAGTTAAAGTCCACGAGTCTTAAAGTAGCCAAGTTTGAAGACCCCTGGACTTCAACTCCCAGAATTCCTCAGCTAGGCACGCTGGCTGAGGAATTCTGGGAGTTGAAGTCCACAAGTCATCAAAGGGCCAAGTTGGAAGACCCCTGGCTTAACCTACTGGAGTTTGTCTGAAGTATCTCCAATGGGGATGAAAGACAGCAGCTGTAAAAAAAAATAATTTGGGTTGTACATCCCAGTAAGAACACCTTGGTCACCACTCAGCACAGGAGCTGCCAGGGAGTCGTGCTGTGTTTTACCAACCAGCCGACTTTGGGATGTTGTGTGAACGCAGACAGGTACCTGGGAGGGTCTCTGAAGTGCTCACCTTTCTGGGGTCCCAGGTTGCTGAGATACTCGCAGTGGTAGCTCCACTGGTCGAAGGTCTCCAGGATGTGCACAGGGTCTCCGGGGATGGCGTGGGTCAGGAGGTAACGGAAGGCTCTCTGCTCCCGGGGGACGCCGGTCAGGTAGTCCCGCAGCTTCCGGAGCAGCACCGCTCGGTAGAAGAGCAGGAAGTAATGGCGATAGCGGATGAGCAGGGTGACCACGAAGGGCACGAAGGCCAGGGCAATGGCCGGAGAGACCATGGTGGCACGCGGGAGGGCTGGGTGGGCGAGAAGACCAGTTGGACAAGGACAGATGGACAGTGAGAGAGAGTGGGGGCCCTCCGCTCAGTCCCCGCACTTCGCTTTTTAAGTGACAGCTCAGTCACATGTCTTCCTAGGAAGACAGGTTTCTGTTGAAATCTGGTTGACATGAACAATTCTAATTCTGATTAATTATTTAATTACTTCTAAATGATCTAGCCCAGGGGTAGACAACCTTGGCTCTTTTATGATTTGTGGACTTCAACTCCCAGAATTCCTCAGCCAGCATGGGGGAACTATGGCTCCCTTCATGACTCGCGGACTTCAACTCCCAGAATTCCTGAGCTAGCATGGCTCAGCTTGGAAACCTCTCCCTTTCCCCTCAGCATGGCTGGCTCAGGAATTCTGGGAGTTGAAGTCCATGAGTCATAAAAGAGCCAAGATGGCCTACCCCTGAACTAGGCCCTTCATGACTTGTGGACTTCAACTCCCAGAATTCCTGAGCCAGCCATGCTGAGGGAAAAGGGAGAGGTTTCCAAACTGAGCCATGCTGGCTCAGGAATTCTGGGAGTTGAAGTCCACCAGTCATAAAAGAACCAAGGTTGCCAACCCAGATCTAGCCTAATGAGGAGAAGAGTTGGGGGCATGACATGGTAACTGTCCTCCAATATCTGAGGGGCTGCCACAAAGAAGAGGGGGGGGGAATCAAGCTATTCTCCAAAGCCCCTGAGGGGACAAGAATCAGGGGACAAGAATCAGGATCATGTGAAGTGTTAATACCACTTTACAAGGCCTTGGTAAGGCCACACTTGGAATACGGCACCCAGTTTTGGTCACCACGATGTAAAAAAGATGTGGAGACTCTAGAAAGAGTGCAGAGAAGAGCAACAAGGATGATTAGGGGACTGGAGGCTAAAACATATAAGGAATGGTTGCTGGAATTGGGTATGTCTAGTTTAATGAAGAGAAGGATGAAGGGGGACATGATAGCAGCCTTCGAGTATCTCAGGGGCTGCCCCAAAGAAGAGGGAGTCAAGCTCTTCTCCAAAGCGCCTGAAGGCAGGACAAGAAGCAACGGATGGAAACCAGTCAAGGAGAGAAGCAACCTAGAACTAAGGAGAAACTTCTTAACAGTGAGGCCAGTTAACCAATGGAACAGCTTGCCACCAGAAGAGACTGGACAGCCCTATACAGAATAACAGAGCTGGGAGGGACCTCGGAGGTCTTCTAGTCCACCCCCCTGCTCAAGCTGGAGACCCTATACCATTTCTGACAAATGACTGTCCAGTCTCTTCTTAAAAGCCTCCAGTGAAAGCAAGCCGTTCCACTGGCTAATTCTTCTCACCGTTGGTAAATTCCTCTTTAGTTCTAGGTTGCTTCTCTCCTTGATTAGTTTCCATCTGCTACTTCTTGTCCTGCCCCCAGTTGTTTTGGAGAATAGCTTGACACCCCTCCCATCTTCTTTATATTGATATTGGAAGACTGCTGTCATGTCACCCCCAATCCTTCTTGTCCTGATCTCACTTCCAGCCCAAGAGGTGGTCCAGGGGTCTCTTCACCCCACTGCGTGGCCTGGAGAGCCTTCGATTTGCTCTCCCAGGACCTTGGAGGGAAATCAGGCAATTACTGGTGGGGTTTGTGGACATCATTTTGAGGCCAGTTGCCTCTTTCTCCAAGGATGTGGGGTCACCAAATCAGCCGATCACGGTGACAATCCCTACGCTGGGGAAGCTGCTATGGGGCGGCCCTTCAGCTGCCTTACCTGCCTGGAGCTGCAGCCAGCCGAATCCTTTGTGCGCCTGGAGGATGCATGAATGATTGATGGCCACCCTGAAGCTACTTCCTGGGTTACCTGTCGTTACCTATCCACCTGAAACAGGTGGCAAATAGGAAAGGGAGAACACGGAGACCGAGAGGTTGAGCCTTGAAGGGGAAGCATAGGTGAGGGACGAACGTGACTCTTCATCTCATGTTTGGGATCCTGTCCAGGTAGACGGGAGGACAGAATGGCCACGCCCATTCCCAGGTATGCCTTTTGTGCCACCCGGGGATGCCCTTGTCTCCTCCCATCTTGGAGGTTCTGGGCGTTTTTAAGATGGAGACCCTTCAACAATGCTACTCTGGATTGTGACTGGAGAGTCCTAGGGAGGGTTAGCTGTGGCTGCTTCTACTCTCCAATTCTTACTAGAAATACCTAAGTCAGAATAGAATACAGAATTGGAAGGGACCTTGGAGGTCTTCTAGTCCAACCACCACCTCAATCAGGAGAACCTATAGCAGGGGTAGGCAACCTTGGCCCTTTTATGACTCGTGGACTTCAACTCCCAGAATTCCTGAGCCAGCCATGCTGAGGGGAAAGGAAGAGGTTTCCAAGCTGAGCCATGCTGGCTCAGGAATTCTGGGAGTTATAATAATAATAAAATTGGAAGGGACCTTGGAGGTCATCAAGTCCAACCCCCTGCTCTGGCAGGTAACCCTATACCATTTCAGACAGGTGGCTGTCCAGTCTCTTCTTAAAAACTTCCAGTGTTGGAGCATTCACCGCTTCTGGAGGCAGGTTGTTCCACTGGCTAATTGTTCTAACTGTCAGGAAGTTTCTCCTTAGTTGTAGGTTGCTTCTCTCCTTGATTAGCTCCCATCCGTCGCTTCTTGTCCTGCCTTCAGGCGCTTTGGAGAAGAGCTTGACTCCCTCTTCTTTGGGGCAGCCCCTGAGATACTCGAAGGCTGCTATCATGTCTCCCCTCGTCCTTCTCTTCGTTAAACTAGACATACCCAATTCCAGCAGCCTTTCCTTATATGCTTTAGCCTCCAGTCCCCTAATCATCCTTGTTGCTCTTCTCTGCACTCTTTCTAGAGTCTCCACATCTTTTTTACATCGTGGTGACAAAAACTGGGTGCCGTATTCCAAATGTGGCCTTACCAAGGCATTGTAAAGTGGTATTAACACTTCACATGATCCTGATTCTACCCCTCTTTTAATGCCGCTTAGAACAGTGGCTTCTCTTCCTTAAACTAGACCAGTGATGGCGAACCTTTTAGAGACCGAGTGCCCAAACTGCAACCCAAAACCCACTTATGCATCGTCGGGTGCCGGGTGGGCGTGGCCCATTGGGTGGGCATGGCTGCGGTGGTAACGGCAGACTGGGTGGGACTAAAAAGTTCAATCAATCAATTCCAACTTTGCAAGATCTTTTTTTCCCCACGAGAAGTTGAAATTGACTGATTGATTGAACCTTTTTTTTTTTTTTGCACACGGCGACGAAGGCCTAAAGTGAAAAGGTTTTATAAAACCCAGCTGAAGGCCTAGGACTGGGGCGACGGTGCGCGTGCCCACAGAGAGGGCTCTGAGTGCCGCCTCTGGCACCCGTGCCATAGGTTCGCCACCACTGAACTAGACATATCCAATTCAGAAGCAACAGTTCTTTACATGATTTAGCCTCCAGTCCCCTAATCCTCTTTGTTGCTCTTCTCTGCACTCTTTCTAGAGTCTCAACGTCTTTTTTACATCGTGGTGACCACAACCGGATGCCGTATTCCAAGTGTGGCCTTACCAAGGCCTTGTAAAGTGGTATTAATCTTTCACGTGATCTTGATTCTATCCCTCTGTTAATGCAGCCTAGCACTGTGTTGGCTTTTTTGGCAGCTGCAGCACACGGCTGGCTGATATTGAAGTGATTGTCCACTAGGACTCCGAGATCCCTCTCACAGTTGAAGTCCACGAGTCATAAAAGAGCCAAGGTTGCCTACCCCTGCCCTATAGTACACCATCCCAGACAAATGACTGCTCAATCTCTTCTTAAAAACCTCCAGTGTTGGAGCACCCACAACTTCTGTTGGCAAGCTGTTCCACTAGTTAATTGTCCTCACTTGTGACGAACTCTCATGGTAAAGAAAAAGACAGACTCAAAGCTGCCTCGGATGAGAGTTGAGAGAGAAGAAATCCAAAGTCAACATGAAAGTCTCTCTCCCTCGCTCTCCTTTATTAGCATACATCAAAAGCAAATTGCAGGCGGAAGGCTTTTTAGCAGGGGGGTGAGGGGGTGAGCCGGAAGTTGCAAACAGTGGGAGTTTTGGAGGTTAGAGACAGCCAAAGTTTTACAAAATGTACCTTATCTATTACATGGCATATACAACTAACAGTTCACAGTAAA